CCTCAGCTCCACCGCGGTGGCCCAAGCCGTGGTGAAGGCAGTCATCGCCCACGGCGTGGACTTCAACAGGGTGTCGGCGTTCCTGTCGAGCCACGCCGTGTACATGTGCCGAGCCTTCTCTGACGTGCTGCGCGGGATGATGCCTGGCGCGGTGCATGTCACTTGCAACACACACATCCTCTCTTTGGTCAGCGACATCTGGCGCATGCATTTCCCAGATGTAGACACCCTGGTTTCCTCCCTGAAAAAAGCCTTCAAGCACTGTCCGGGCCGCAAGCTTCGGTACGGGGAGTTTGTGGCCAATCAGAGCGGGGAGCCGCAGGCAGCAGTGCCGCTCACAGTCGAGCCAGCTCCTATGAAGTGTAACTCGTGGTTTGATGCGGTTTGTTACCATGCCAAGAACATTCAGCACTACCAGCAATTTGTGAGACAGGAGCTGGAAATCACGCCTGGCACGCAGTACATGCTGAAGCTGCATGAGCTTCTAAAGCAGGGCGACATTGGTGACCAAGTTAAGTTCGTGGCTGAAAATGTGACCCCGTTCGGGGAGCTGCTCACGTGGTTTGAAGGGCGACAGGTTTTGAATCACAACATGCACAACAAACTGATGGATTTGATAAGCTGGGTGGAAGACATGGCCTCACAGCAGCTTTCAGACTGTCCCACAGAAAACCAGCGCAGGCAGGACGTGTTCCAGGCCATCGCTGCCAAGCTGAAACAGTTTTACAAGTATGATCCGTCGCTGCCGCCTCGGTTTAAACAACCGGCCGCTGCCTTTTTTAGTGCTGTTCGCATTTTTGACCCGAATCAGGTGCCTTTTCTGACTGTTAACCCTCAGCTAATTAAATCAATTCCTGGGTGGCAGAGAGAGCACAGCAACGAACGTGCTGCGTACATGAATTTCATCAAAGAGTGCCAGATGCCTTTGAACGTAACTGAGTTTTGGGACTCTGTTTCTGATCGGTTTCCACATCTCTACAGCTTGGCAAAACGCTGCCTTACGATTCCAACCAGCTCAGTGAACGCAGAACGTGCGGCCTCCACATATGGACAAGTGGTCACGCCGCCCAGACAGAGGGCATCGGCTGCAACTGCTGGCAGATGCTGCATGCTAGCGTTTGACAACTAAGATGGATTGTTTCTATTCAGGTTAGCATTCACTAGTATTTTTAAATTTTTTGTAGAACACTACATTAATACCAATAATAAATTATACATTAATTTATAATAATAAATTATAATGGTATTAATTACAATTCATATTTTATATACATTCATATTTATAATATATTTAAATTTAGATTTAAACTAATATAAATTATATGATATAATTTACTTTCTGTGGAATTTGCTGTTATATGGTATATGCCTCTCTGTCAACCAGTGGCAAGGGGCAGCAGGGCTGCCAAGAAATGCCAATGGAATCAGCTGGTCTGAACTGCAAAAATTGCTTTGTGTCACTGTGAGTTAACTAGACTGTTTAACCATAATGATGGGTGTTGGGGGAGTCCCCACCCTGTTGCAGAAGGGGAGGTGCACATACAGTCCCTACCACCTCCCCTGACCCAGTGAGGGGCCTCAGTCCCAAACC